CTGGCGCCGCCGCCGCCGCCGTACGGAGCCTCAGGCCGCGCTGGCGCACCGGACGGCTGGCCGAAGAGTTCACGGGGCAGCTCGGGCGCGAAGAGAACGCGCCTCCCTTCCCCTCTTCCTCCTCCTCCTCCTCCTCCTCCTCCTCCTCCTCCTCTTCCTCCTCCTCAACCTCAGCCGTTCTGGCCCAGGTGTTGGGCTTGCAACAGCATGCTCTTCAGAACGGCCGAGTGCTGTTGCGGGCCGAAGTGGCTCGTTCACTTGCTCCCGCGGGAGCGCAGCAATACGATTATCTACATAAAGTGTTGGCTGGTCCCCGTCCTGCTTCTCGCGAGCAGCCTCGTGCAGGCAGGATGGCCACCAAGCCAGGAGTTGGAGGCGATACCATGTCTAAGAAGGCGCTGCAGCGTGCCCTTCTGGCCACGGCATGGTGTTGCAGGAAGTGCAAACATCCTGTCAGCGGGCTCCCCTGGTGGAATCATGGGGACGCCGGCAAGTGCAAGATGTGCGGTTTGGCAAAAGGCACGGCGTTTCTGTGTCCTCGTTCAGCTTCAGGTTCACCGTCGGTGCGGGTGGGAAAAGATGGCACTACCACGGGGAAGTTCACGGACTCACCATGGCACAAGTCGGCGATGGCGAAGCTCGAGCAGGAGTTGGCTGAGACGCGTGCCCGCTTGGCCAAGGCCGAAGGCAAGGATAACACGATGGAGGTCTATGAGGCGGAGGATGTGTCGGATGTTGCGGAGACTCAGCGTCGCCGTGGGCGTATCGCGGAGATCGATGACAGCCTCACCCGCCTCAAGGATTCCAAAGAGGTGGCCTTTGTGCAGTTGCGCAAGGACTTGGAGACCGAGCGCTTCCGGCCTCGGTCTGAGCTTGCGGCGTCTCGTCCAGTTGGCACCCGTCTCCGTGATTTGGCGCAGCGTCAACTCAAGCTGGAGCGCCGGCGTAAGGCGCAGTGCGAGGGCCTTGACCATCTCGAGCAGCAGATCGCCGACCTGCACGCCAAGAAGCAGGAGCAGAAGCAGGCCTTGGCGACCACGGAGGCTGAGCTGCACGAGCTCCAGAGCGAGCAGGTCCGTCTGGCTTCGTCGGTTCCTACGCCAGCGGAAGGTGCTGTTGGTGCCACCGCCGTCCCAGGTCTCGGCGTCACTACCGAGCAACTGGGCGCGCTGCTCCAGGAGCTCGGCGACGACGGTCGGGTGCAGACCAAGCTGGACGCAGCGCTTGCAGAGCTTAGAGCGTTGGATGCCGCCAAGAAGGAGAAGGACAGGGTGGCCCGGGAGAGTGGGGCTAAAGCTGCCGAGGACCACGCTGCTGCTCCTGCTGCTCCTGCGGATCCCGCCGCTCCTGCTGCCGCGGCTGCGGCTGCGCACGCTCCTGCTGCTGCGGCTGCGCACGCTCCTGGTGCAGAGCCTCCTGTGGCTGTGCCGCCTGGTGCGCAGCTGGGGGAGAACGATTTCATGTCTGACGATGTCGACGTGGAGCAGCTCAAGAAGTTCATTGCTGGGCTCGGTGCCACCCCTGCGGACAATGAGCAGGAGATCCGAGCGCAGTACAAGCGCCAGCGCGAGCTCATCTTGGCGAGCCTTGCAGGAGAAGCCACGAAGAAGACGCGGCTGTTGTAGCCTCGCGCGCTTCTTGACCAGAGTGGTCGTCTTGGCGTCGGGCTGCACTGTGGCTCGTGCCAGTGGGCCTGCGGGCGAATTGCCACTCTCTGCAGGTCCTAGCGCTGTCTCTTCATGGACTTCCAGTTCCTTGTCCTCGTCCTCCAGTCGCCCCAGCCCTGAGATGGCGCAGACTGCGGGTCGGGCGAAATCCGTCCAGGAGGGAGGCAGAGGAGGTCCATGTGCGCTTCTCTCCCCGGGTACCTTCTGTACTGCGATGCCGTTGGCTGTTGGTACCAAGCCGAGTGCATCCGCTGCGTTGGCCCGCGGTGGTGGTACTGCCGCAATTGGAGGGGAGGGTATCTGTGCATGCTCAAAATGTTACTTAAGACCGGATGTTCCTGCTGTGCTATTCGTCGCTACGCTACACAACGGCAGTGGGGCAGAGAGGCTGCACTCTTCACAGGTGATTCTCTTGGGCATTGCAGTGTAACGTCCAACGAGGCACGGTCGCTGACGCATGCTAGCGTTCTACACGCCAAGCCCGGCGCCCAGCGGATCTGCTACGTGAAGCCTCGCCCTGCTGAGGACGGTGGTGGCTCTTCTTTGAAGGGGCAGCTGATCACGGCGAACATTTCTGATGCCAAGCAGTTGATCCAGTACTTGAGTGTCTGCCAAGCTACGGTGTTAGCCGTGCAGGAGCACAAGACGGACGAAGTTCGTCTGCCTGATGTTCAACAAAGTGCTGCCGACAAAGGCTGGTCTGGAATCTGGGCGCCGGCTGTGGTGACTGACAGAGGTGGCTTCAATGGTGGCCTCGCGGTGCTTACACGAGGCAGGGTCATGGTCACTTCGCCGCCATGCCGCAGTGACCCCGTCCTGGTGCCTGGTAGGGCAATGGCGGCCCGAGTCCACTGGGGCCTCCCAGGCGGGCTCGTCATTATTATAGTGTATTTGGTGGTAGGCGAAGGTCTGTCACCCAGCAACCTGGCCATTCTGCATGAGGTCAATTGCCACGCTGCGGAGCTGAACGCTCCTGGATTTGCTTGGGTCATCTGCGGGGACTTCAACATGGAGTACGAGCAGCTGGGTGACCTATCGTGGCTGCACTCCGTTGGAGGTGTGGTGGCCAGAGCCCAGGACACGACCTGCCGGCAGGCTACCCCTGGCAGCAAGATCGACATGTTCATGATCTCGGAGGCTCTGTTCACCCGGGTGCAGTTGCCATTTGTGATTGAGGACGCTGGCACATTTCCACACGTCCCTGTCGTGTTACCTGTTCGCGGTCATGAACTGCCGCTATGGGTTCGACAGCTTGCAGCGCCTAAATCAGTGCCACGCGGTCCAGTCATTGGCTGCTCGAGATGGCCAGGGGCTTGGGATGAGCCTTTGTACCTTGTCAAGGCTGCGTCCGACACCGCCTCTTTGCAACGGGCGTGGGACTCTGTCCTCGCGGGCCTGGAGGACGAACTTTCGGCCGACACGACAAAGTAGGGGACGCTGCTGAAGCCTACCGTGGGGCGGCTGGGCCAGTCCAGCTAAAGTGGGTCAAGTTTGAACCTCTTGTGCCCAACAAGCTGCCCAGTCATAGTGTAGTTGAGCACGGATGGCCCGTTGCTGCACGCTGGGCGCGACATGTCCGCAGCGCCCGTCAATCGATCAGGCATCAGATCTCCATGTTGGTAGCGGACGTCGGGCTCGATATGGAGTCGCCCGAGGCCGTCTTGAAGTTGGCGAAGCACTTGCTGGACTTCGGGCGCTGGCTGGAGCGAGTCAGCAAATCGACAGCGTTGCTGGCGATCGACCCTTGGGTGGACAACTTCTTCGCCTCTGGCTTCCAGATGCTCTCGGACCCGCACGTCGAGGACAGTGTCGATGCGATCCTTGCTCGAGCTGATGAGGTGCTGGATGCCTATGGCAAGAAGTGCCTGGAGGGCTGGAAGGCATGGGCGGCCAGCTCTTTCGAGAAAGGGGCTGGGCAGGCTCATGGCTGCACCAGAGCGAAAGCAGCCCAGGAGATCTACGACTGGGGCAACCTGCACAACGACCTGGCCCAGCCGCACGTGCTGGCCGACAATTCCATGAGGTTCTGGGACAGTATATGGGGACTGCATGAACAACAGGTCATGGCGCTTCCGGCCGGCGCAACTTCGTGGGCAACGCTCCCTGACATCACGGTCGCCAGTCGCCATGTTGCGTGCTGCAGCCCTTTCTTTTCCATGGCACACAGGAGTTGGCCGATTTCATGTTTCGCCTCGCAGCCTTTGGTATGTGAGTGATGCGGGGCTGTACGTGCTGGGCCAATTGTTCTCAGCATGTGAAAGGCTGCACCAGTGGCCGCAGGAGCGCGTGGTCACCCAGATGGTCAGGCTGCCGAAGGAATCTGGCGGCAGCAGGCTCACTGCCTTGATCCACACGCTGCTGCGAGTGTGGGGCCGTGTGAGAAGGCCTCTTGCAGCTTCTTGGCAAAGCGATCACGCAATGGAGGCCTTTTGGGGCACCGGGGCGGGTCGTTCGTCGGTTGACTGCGCTTTCAGTTTGAACTTGGAGGCAGAGATCGGCCACGAGCTGGACGAGGACGTGGTCAATGCCTTCCTTGACATGATGAAGTGCTACGAGACGGTGCGGCTCGACGTTCTCTTGACGGAGGCTTGCGCGGTGGGCTTCCCGCCCCGCCTGTGTTGGATGGCGGTGCAGACGTATGTACAACCACGTCTCATCAAGGCGTACGGGGGGCTGTCGTATGCGGTGGTCTCGCTGCAAGGCATCTTGGCGGGCTGCTCTATGGCAACCACGCTCCTCATGGTCCTGCTGTACCGCAATATGCAGAGCACGGTTAGCAATTTTATCCGCCGGCCCCCTTGTGGGGCCACCAGGCTGCGAGGCCCGTGATTCTCAGTTTCCTGTACCAGTTGTAGTTTCTAGTTTCCAGTGTTACAGTTCTGCTTCTTGCTGGTTACTGTAACTAGTTGACTTCTTGCTGGTTACTGTGACTAGTTGATTGACCGCGCGAGGAGGGGGGAGGCCCAAACAAGACTTTTAGCACCCCCTGGGCGCGTTGTCTGAATTGCTGGGGGGGCTCGAAATCTACACCCCTCACGCAGATCCGCGGGGTCAGGGTCCAACAACACAAGGAATTTGCCACATTTCTGAAATTCGGTGCCACCCCTCACGCAGATCCGCAGGGTTAGGGTCCAAAAACACATGGGATTTGCCACATTTCTGAAATTCGGCGCCACCCCTCACGCAGATCCGCGGGGTCAGGGTCCAAAAACACATGGGATTTGCCACATTTCTGAAATTCGGTGCCACCCCTCACGCAGCGGGGTCAGGGTCCGCCACATTTCTGGGGTCACGGGTCAGGGTCCAAAAACACATGGGATTTGCCACATTTCTGAAATTCGGTGCCACCCCTCACGCAGATCCGCGGGGTCAGGGTCCAAAAACACAGGGGATTTGCCACATTTCTGAAATTCGGTGCCACCCCTCACGCAGATCCGCGGGGTCAGGGTCCAAAAACACATGTGATTTGCCACATTTCTGAAATTCGGTGCAGATCAGGGTCCATTTGCCACATTTCTGAACGGTGCCACCCCACAGCATCCAAAGGTAACCCAAACTGCGAGAACTCGGCCCTTTAATCGCAAGGTTGGTAACCAAGCCTTTGGTCTTTTCTGTGCAGTTCTTGCGATCAGGGTTTTGTGTTGCGAATACGGCTTCGCAGACGGCTTTCGATACTGCTTCACGACAGCGCCAAGGCCTCATGACTTAGCTCTTCCATGGCCCATTCTCCGAGAGAGGGGGCCGGCGGCAGGGGGCGAAGCCCTTACGGATAAATGTGACTCCTCGCGCGATGATTGATGACATCAGCTTTCAGTGGGTGGGGGAGCGGGCTGTGGGGCTGAGGCGGGACGGGAGGGATCCTGTGCATGAGCTCTACGCTGCTCTCCGTGCCTTTGTAGATCTTGTTAAGCCGTTGGGAGCGCGAGTTCAGTTCCACGAGTGCGGTTTCGTTGCTAGCACTGGTCGTGCTCGTAAGCGGTTTAGTCGTTTTCCTGGCCTTTTGAAACTGGCTTCCAAGAAGGCCATGCGAAATCTTGGGCACGAGCTCCATGGGCCCCAGGTCCTGCGCGCCCAGGAAAAGTCTCGGGTGCGCAAAGTTTGTGAGCGCAAGGCCAAGCTGCTCAATCTCCGTCGTGCGGTGGGGAACCGAGTGGCCGGCCTGTGGCGCACAGGGCTCATGCCCTCGGCTGCGCACGGTGTTGGAGTGTCAGGAATTTCCGACACTGCGCTCCGCACCCTTCGCACTATGGCGGGGGGGCTGGTCGGGGCGAAATCGATGTGCTGCCTTACGTTGTACCTTGCCACACAGGCTAGCTTCAGATATGACCCTGTTTTTGGTGCCACAACTTCGCTTGTGTGCCGTTACGCTGCCTGGATCTGGGAGCAGCGGGTGAGCCCTAGTCGCCTGCGCCGTGCCTGGGACCGCATCAAAGAGCGGCTTTCTAGCCGAGTGACCTGGGCCGGAGCTCGGGGCCCCATCTCCTCGACCTTCCTCACCCTCCTCAGAATTGGTTGGAACATGTTGTCCCCTACTGTGATTGTGGACGACGTAGGCAGGCACGTTGATTTGTTGCGCACCTGCCCTTCGGATGTGAAGCGATTTCTGGAGGAAGGTTTGCAGCGATGGCAGTCTCAAAGAATTCTGGCTTATTTCGAAGACAGTGCCGGCGAAATGTGTTGGCTTCGTGCTATGCGATCGGCGCCGTGGAGCCCTAAGAGCTCTGTGGGCGTCCGCTTGCTGGCCGCCGCAGCGCCTCTTTTCCATCCAGAAGCGGGAGTCGGACAAATGCTTTGCGTGCAAAGCGGCCGTTGGCACGTGCGCCCATCAATGATTCGACTGCCCTGGGATGCTTGAGGAGCCGGAGGGTCAGGAATCTTGTTTTGTGCCCGATGATGTGTTGGAGCTCAGGTCTGAGCTTAAAGCTCGGCATGCTGACGTACATGGCGCGCAGGGCGTCGAGTGCTTTTACCTGTCTTATGGGCTTCCGCCCCTTCCGCCTTTCCCTCCCGATGTCGAGCCGATCCTTGAGATGTTCGGATGGGGGGACTGGCGGGGGATTTGGGGCCGGCGGGTCTTCACGGATGGATCTGGCTTGGCGTCGGGAGTGGTTGGTCTCACTCGTTGCGGGTGGGCTGTCATTGAGATTTCCGACAGCGGCCACATTTTGCGTGCGATTTATAGCCCTCTCCCGGGCAGAGTGCAAATTGTCCCCCGTGCTGAATACTATGCCATGTTGTTAGCGATCACCTTTCCCTAGTCCGTGCTGGCCGGAATTGAGGTGAGCACAATGAACAGGCCTCCTCATCCCATGCTAATGTGTGGCGCCGTGTGCATTGCCTGTACAAGAGTGGTCGCCCCACGTTTGAGTGGACTCCCGCCCATCGGACTCTCGACGAAGTGTTGGGGGATCCAGATGCGAGTTTCCTCAATTGTTGGCAACAGTTGGGCCGACATGTTTGCCAAGTGGGGCGCCGCTAGTCATGCTGTTGGGGATGTCTTGGTTGACGTCCACAAGCAAGAGCTGAAGCACGCGAAGGTCGCCGCTAATGGCTTTGCCTGGATGGTGCAGGCTGTGGCCCAGAAGTCGGCCGCGCTCCTTCCTCGGTCTCTGGAGCCCCACGGCTCAGTGGAGGCCACGCGTATGCTCGAGCCTACCCTGTCTCTCATTTCCCACGAGCTGTGGGTGTGCAAGCGTACTGGTGAGCAGAGGTGCGCGCAGTGTAACCACTTTGCTCGCACGCAGCTGTCGTTGAAGTTATTGCGAGCATCTGCGTGTACACCGAACGCCATCAAGCAAGGAGCGGCCGCCCGTTTTTTCCAGCTCTCACCTGATGTGTATGGGCCCCCGCTTCGGGGATGGACAGACCCCCCTTTAGTAAAACGTGGTTTAGTGAAAACGACCTGAGGCCCAAACCTGGCGGGCGCAAGCCTGGAAAATAACGGCCACGGCGCCATCTCGAGAACCGAAAACGGACAATTCACTAATCGACGTGTCACTGTTGGGGGTTCTGTCCACCCCTGGCTGCTCCTGGCCCCTGCGGCCGAGCAGGCCATCCAAGCCGATGGCTTCGATCCTTCCCCTCTTCCTCCCTCGGTGGGCGACGGGGAGGGGGCGGTGGAACGGGAGGTTGCGGCGTACCGTGCGCTTGGCCACGAGGCCGAGCGGCATGGACGCGTTTGGATATGCCTGGAGTGTGGAGCTTTTATTGTCGATCAGGGTCGGAATCCAAAGTTGTTTAAGACCTGTGTCGGACGATCTCGCGTCCCCTCCACGAGGCCAATGAGGAGGCCCAGGTCTCTAGAGCTCTGCGAGGCCTTCACCCTCGCACGCGAGTTCTGTTGGCTCCTCTCTCTCAGTCCGGGCCGGCTCCGGCTAGAAACGAGTTTTCCCCTGTGGAGGCGGGGGCGGTGGGTGGGGGAGGCGGAGGCGGAGCGAGCGTGTTGCCCTCTGCCTCGGCGTCGTCGTCGTCCGCTGCCCCGCCACCACCGGCGCCGCCGCCTGCTGTGGGGCGCGGCGGTGCTGGCCTTCGTGGCCGTGCTCGAGGCCGCGGACGCGGCACTGGCAGGCGAGGA